CTCCGCTGGTGCCGCCGGGGCCGCCGCCTGCCAGGCCGCCTCCCGCCGGGGCCGGGCGGGTCCATCCGTGCACGGAGGTCCCCGTGGAGCTGGCGAAGGGCTCTCCGGACCAGAGCCGCCTCAGGCCCTGGAGAAAAGCGCTACCCGGCGCGGCCCCCGAGCGCGACGCAGTCCACCCAGGACCCCGCCCCACCCAGGCGCGCCCCGCCCCTCGCCGCGGCGCGGGGCTGTCCGAGATGCTGCCTGAAGAAAAGGGGTGAGTGGAGCCGCGCCATGAGGGCCCAGAGACTCCCGAAAAGGAAAAGCCGGAGAGTGCAGAAGCGTAAGAGAGATACTCCTTCCACCTTTAACGGTCGGTCCTTTATGGCTAACTTGTTTTGCGACAGGCTTTCTATAGACACCTAAATCCTTCCACCATGGAGGAGGAGCCAGCCGGTGACGTAAGACCCCCGCCTGCTGGCGTGGTAGGACCCGCGTCCCGGACTGGAAAGTGCGCGATTTCCAACCAGGGTGATCGCGCTGTCCCTGGCCCGCCCGGCTCTGGCAGTGGGAGTGACAGGCCCGGCCGAGAGGCTGCTCAGGCCGCCCCCGATGCACCGTGGAGCCTGGGACGCGGCCTGCGCCTCTCGTGGCCGCTCCCCTTCGCCTCCGTGGCCCCCTGCCTTCCAGCCTGTCGCCCCTGGTGGCGTTTCCACGCGCTTCGCCGCGGCAGCCCCCGAGTCCCCGGCGGCAGGTCCCGGCGCCCTGTGGGTGCCGCCTTCCAGCGCGGCCACGTCGCCCACGCCCGTGGGTCGTTCTCCAGGCGCGATCGTGTGCACTGCGGGAGGCGCTGCCGAGGCCGCGATCACTGCGCACGGTCCGGTGTGATCCTGCTGCAGTCCCAGCACCCGCGCCAGCCCCCGACGCAGCTCACAGACGACGCCAGCGAGAGGCCGCCCCACGGGCTTCCGTGAAGGCAGCGAGGCGCGAGGCTTAAGATACGAGGGTGCAGGCAGTGGGAGGCGAGAAGACCGTCCCTGGAGAACAAAGCAGGGCTGTTATAGGGCGTGGCAAAGGGGGTCGCGCGGGGAGATCGGGCGAGGGAGCCCGTGAGGGGCTCTGAGCAGACGTCAGTGCCCGGCGTCCTCAGCCTCCGACGCGAATGCGGATGTTCTCCGATCCCTGGGGCTGGGAAGACCCGGCTCTGCCCATCTTGTCTCCGTGTTTGCGGAGTGCAGCCCGTGCGCTGGGCCGAGGTTTTGCTGAGAACAGCGTGGCTGCCGAAGAACAGGTTGGGTACTGGCAAAGTCACGCCCGGTCGGAGCCTGACACCGCAGTCCTCTTGATCACAACTTGGTGCTGTTCCTATCTACTCAGAAGCCTCCTGAGGCGTCCGGCATTCGCTACAGTCCAAATTTCGTAGCGTTCAACATGAGCGTCACATGATCCTGTGAAGTAAAACCTTAAAAAAAAAAAAAAAACCTTCCAAACAAGGTCGTCAGGATTTTTCTAAACCTCCCATTGCTGCCCTTGCTTTCTCAGGCTGGCTGCCCCGTGCTGCGCAGTGCAGGGCCCAGTGATTTCGCTCCTGGACGTCAGAGCAAGGCAGGCCTGTGCCGGCAGCCGTAGGGCTGTGGGTAGGGAACGACCATGCAGAAGTCCCAGCTCTTCGCGGACGCAGGTGAACAGAGAAAAGCAGAGGACTCGGAAGGGAGCAGAAGCGTGGGGGATACAACTGAAAGGCAGACCCGAGGCCCATCGGAGATAAAGGAGACCAGCGCAGACTCCGACACTTTTCCAGCTCTGCCTTTTTCTCTCAGACAGGTTTATCTACACAGTAACTTCCCTTTTATTTCAGGTTTTCCCGATGAGTGTTTTTTGCCCAAGTACCTTAGTGCAGGAGGCACCGGCGGTCTCTCTCTGCACCGTCTGCCTGCGGGCACAGTCGAAACACGCTTAGCATTGTGGGAACTTGGAGGCCTTCCTGCCTCAGCGGATGCTTCAGGCTTTCCCTTTGCCTGGAACCCCTCTGTCCAGCTCTACCTGTGGAAATCCTGGCCGGCCTTTCAGAGACTGGGTTTTACCTCTGCAACCCCACGTCACACCCACTTCGGTTTTTTGCCCCTTAGTGTAATTTTTCTAGCACCACATTTTGACTTGGTGTTGAGGATTTTTGTGCCTTAGAGGTGAGTCTAACTTTCAGATGTTAAACATGGCTCATGTAGTAGGTACTAAATAAATGTCGGACTGAATCAAATTCACTGGAACTAATTCAAGTGGAAAAAGAATTCCTTTAGAAACGACAGTACATTTTTTGTACCTTTTTCAAGGCTATCACTCAAAACATTTAATCCTGGTTATACATGATTAAGAGGGAGGAAATTTAACCCAACTATAGGGTTTGGAGGTGGGACATCCAGGAAATTATGAAGATGAGAGAAGGTCATCAAGATTGGCATTGGGAGAAGGGGGAGAGGATGGAGGAGATACACAGATGCCCCTTGCTTTGTGATGCCTTTTCTCAAGCATCTGCCGCAAAGCAGGGCATCACCAGATGTGGCACCTCAGCCTTGGATGTCCAGATGCATTACCCAAAATAAAACTATTCCGTGTAAAATCACCCAATCTGTAGTGTTGTGTTACTGGCAACAGAAAACGGACCAAGGCAAGGTTGGTACAGAGAGTAGGGTTCTTGCTAATGACAGTGTGGGAAAGGGTGACAGGTGACAGAGCTGCCGAGATCCGTCTGTTGCTATGAGTGAAGTGTTAGGTGATTCTGAGGAGGTCGCAGAACAGTAGCCTCAGAGGGAGATAAAGACCCTAGGAGGAATTAGAGCAGTTGTCATCCTTGTCCTGCAGTTGCAGATAACGTGGGCGCCTGCGTCCGTGACCCAAGATTTGGGGGAAGGCAGAAAGAGACACTGGGCAGAGGGATTTCACAGTGAAGCGTTCGGGCCGTAACATGCGTCCTGTGTGCCCCCTTAGCTCACAGTGAGACTCCAGAACAAAAAATAAAAATTTAAAAACAACAAAATTTAGAGAATTTGCAGCCTGGCTAGGAAACAGTGAGAAGGTGTGTTCAGGAGAACGGGAGGAAGAGGGCACCTGCACAGGAGGCCCCGTGGGGTTGTGAGGCTGCTCCTCTCCCGGCGTGGGGCCCTTCCGGGACAGACCTGCCCTGGCACTGTCTTGGGCTCACAGTCCAGGGCAGCCTGAGCATTCACTTCCCTGGTTTTTGCTGCCCAGACGCCACACAGGAGCTGCAGCTGTGGCCTAAGCAGGCGGGTACAGCTCATGCGGGTGACAGGTGGGAGCACCTCCATGAGCTGGTCCTGCAGGTAGGCGGAGCACAGAGTACGGGTCAGGTAGCTCCCACTGAGATTTCAAAGGCAAGCCTAGGAGGCCAGGCACAAGCTCACCGCCTGGAAGAGCTCTGCCCCAGGCACGCAGTGTCTAATGGAGCTAAAGTGGGAGCCCAGAGAGGTACAGCTGCCAGCAACATGCACAGCCCTAGGGAAGAGCTCCAGACAGCCAGTGAAACAAGCTTAAAGGAGGAACCAGGTGCCTGTAACCAGCAGCACCGAGGGCCCCATGCAGCTCACCCCACCACACTGCACAGCACGCTGGACACGGGCTTGAAGACGCTGTCTGCCCTGCTGCGTGCTGGCTTGGTTTGTGCCGGTTACTCCTTTGCATTTCCCTATTTCTCTGTCTGGAAGAGGAATGTTTATTTTCTTGCTGTCCCACCAGTGTATCCCGGAAGTATGTAACTTGCTTTTTGATCCTACGATGACGACGACCTGCATCTGAAAGAGTTTACCCTGAATCTCAGAGGAGACTTTGAACCTTTGAATTAGCATTCGAGTAAGTTAAGACTTTAGAAGCCTTTGAATGGAATGACTCTATCCGTGAGAAGACATGCGTTCCAGAGGGCTGGGGACAGAAAGCTGAAGTTTGTATGTGGTTTGTCTCCTGCTAAACGCCTGTTGGCATCTGACCCCTCGTTGCAGACTGCTGGTAGAAGGGCAGAAACTGAATCGGCCTTTGGAGTTTGGAGCAGGGTCTTCAGGTAAGCGACTAGAGTAGACAAGGTCATCAGAGGGTGCATCCACTCACACTGCTCCGTCTCCTCTCGCCATCGGTACCCTGCACCCAGCACCCCGCCAGCGGGGAGGCCATTGCCTGGTACAGCCCTTGGGCTTGGACCAACAGAACCATGAGCCAAAAGGCACCTGGTTTTTAAGCTCCCAGTTTATAGTATTGTGTTACCATGTGTTTGTTATCAGCGTTAGAAAACAGCCTAACATATGCTCGACCTACTCAGAGGAAGTGAAGGGTTATAGGAGCATTGTTCTTGTCAGACTTCCAAGCAAAACCATGCTTTCTGCAGAGTAGCCTGAGCCCTGGAGAGATACACGCACCCGCCTGTGGTGTTGGGGATCCGTGTCTGCCGAGTCCACAGCAGTTCAGAGCACCTCCCTGGGGGTCTCCATCCTCACCCCACCCTCACCACCGCCAGAGACCTGTAACATCTAGAAACTAAAGCTTTGGAATCCCACATAATCCAGAGGTTGCTGTTGGCTTAATTTATTAGCATGTGCATCTGGTGAGACGTCTGTTAGATTCAATCTAAAAACCAAGGAAAGCTCACGACAGAAAGTAATTTGTTCTTAAAAGTTCTTGTGTTTTTCTTTATGAAAAGAGCTATTACTTCTTTTGATGCACCCACCCATAAGAAAAATGAACTATATTTTCGTATTTTTTTAAAAAATAAACCTGAGTAGTTTGCAACTCCTAACAGTCTACAAGTCAGAGCTCTAATCTTGAGTAGGTTGTACTGTTTTCCAGCCTGTGTGGTAATGTCAACATTTGTCCACCAGGTGTCGCTCGTTCCCTGTGTGTTTTAGACATTTCCAACCATATATAGAACACATCAGACCTTAAGGGCGGGGAGCAGGGTGCTCTTGGACATCCTCTGGCGGAGGGTGTTTTGTGGGAACCAACATGCTGTCGGTCCATGCATGGATGACCTACACCCCTTCATTCCAGTTTCCCTTCGCACCCCCTGGCTTGGGGGTGGTGTCTTCAGCTGTCCAAAGGGAGCGCTGTGCTCACAGCCTCAGTTCTGCCCCAGGGTGGTGTGAAGCAGGGGGCGAGCACCCCACGTCTTCGTGGGGCATTGCCTTCAC